GGACTTACATAAACTATCATTTTATGTTTTTCAGTTTTCCATGTCACAGAATTAAATCCTAATAAGTAAAATACAGAGGAATGCAATATAAAATTGAGCATTAAATACCTTTTTCTCTAAAGACAAAATGAATGAAATAGAATAAATAAAACATACACAAATAAAATGCGGTCATAGATATTACAGGTTTAAGCAAATGTCAGGGAAGCATCTGCTTTGCCACATGAGATAAAAGCAGTAGTTCAGGACAAGGAGCCCCAGTGCAAAGGAGACTGGCTTGCTGCCGATAATTTAGTAAGCTTTCAGGTGTCATTCGATTTCTCCATGCCTCTGCGAAATGAAGTTATTGGGCTAGAATAAACACTGGTCCCTTGCTGGCCCTGACATTTGTGCTTACATGAACATGGGATGACTGCACACTGAGCAGAACTGCTAAGCTCTGTGCCTCAGTCCACTAATCCTTCTATTCAGTTCATGTGGGCTGAGTCTCTCCCTCAATCAGTGAGTGACCGGCATCACTGTGGGCTCCAGTGCCATGCTGGATACCAGCCTTTTCTGCTTGTTATTCACTTAGCCCTGCTGTCTCTGACCATTAGCTTAAGGATTAATCTGTTGACTGGTAAATTGGGTGAAAGACAGCTGAGTTCATTTAATTAGGGCAGACTCTAATTTGGCATTGCATGTATCTGAATTTCTAACCTCAAATTCCAGCCAGTTGTTTGGACCTCAGTGTGCTCCACTCTGTCACATTTTTGATAGTGGATGTAAACTTTACATGAAGATAATGATTTTTAAAAATAGATGGAAAGTTTAGCAAATGCATGGTCGGGTCTTTACTAAGTCTAATAAGTTCAAGGAAGAATGTGAGACACAGCTTGTAGAGAAAAGACACAAAATCAGAATGAAGAAAAAGCCTTGGTGTCTATAATAAACTATTATTCGTGTTGATGAAATTATTAAACCTCCCATATATGTTTAATAGATGAATAACATATTTTAGGAACTTCTAGATCCTAAGAAGTTTGCTCAGCATTTTACAGCATTATTTCATTTGACTGGGAATCCAATTAGATAGATATGAATATTGATTTCTTTCTACAGATAAATAAATCAGAATTTAGAAAGATAGAAAAATTTGTCCCAAATCCAAATGTCAGTGAGTGGTAAACAGGAATTTGAATCTATGAAACTGGACTCCAAGAATCCAAAGGATTAGGTAAAACATTTATAGCTTTCCAAATATCAAGAACATTGTGATTTGCCAAATGATTATCAATGAAAAAGGTTTAATAATTGATTTATGATCACACTGATATTGGGTGATACAACCTGAATCTGGCACTCATTTGACCCCAAATGTTAAGATCCTTCTTGTATAATTATTCTTTGAAATGAAAATGTGGCTAAGGATTGGTCACCTACTGAGTTTAAGGTATCTTTTGAGATATCTTCAGAATGTAGGTTAACTTGCTATGAAGAGAAAGTATTAATATACACAGACTATGAAATTAAATAGCAGAGGACAGTATTATGATAAGGACCAGATGTCAATATCTTCAGGGAACTTTAAAAAATGCTTTCCTCACAATTATTTATGAGAAAAGGAACATTTTTCAAAGTACATAAATATTCTTGTCTGGTTTCTCATAAAGATGGTCATTGGTAAACAAATATGGAGATGAAATATTTTCTTTAAAACCAGAAGCCCTTTTTCGATTGATTATTGTCATTTCAGTAATGGTTTGGTATGTTTCCTGTGTTTTCCTCTCAGCCCAAGGCGGTTTGACCAACCTGATTAAATAGTAAACATGCTTACAAGTTGCCTCCCTGGTATGAAGCAATAGAAAGACCGAAAGAGGCAATGGTAGCTGAATAGCTTGCTTATGCATTAATTGTTGGATCATGGGAAGAAATATTATAAAAGGCATTTAGAGAAAATTGTGCATAGATTGGATGTTGGGTGCTAATATCTTGTCAATGTTAAATTTCATGAATTAGATCATTCCACAGCAGTCTTGTGAAAAAATGACATTATTTCAATGAAAGCATATTGAAGTATTTTGTGCTAAAGGGAAATGATACTTAAAAGTGTGTCTCAGAGGAAAAATGAATCTATTCAAAGAACGGGAGTGATAAAGTCACCACAGGAAAATGTTAAAATTTAATAAATAAAATGTTATTTTTTGTATGACTATCATATCTTCTTTAAAAGTTTGGAATTATTTTAAAATAAAAAGTTAAAAATCATCTTCAAGCATAAAACAGCTTTGAGCTTTAATATTTAGTTTCTTCTTATAGGCAAATGACTCTTTAAATAAAAGACTTGATTAAAAGTAGACAAATTCTTAAAAGTTGGTGATAACTTGGGTGAAATCACTTTAGGGTGATACTATGTTTGCCTTCCATGAATATTTCTATAAATCAGAAGTATGCATTTAGAAACTAAATTTTGTAAAACTATTCAACACACAATGCTAAAGTAAATGCCCAAGAGGTGTTAGTATTTCTCTAGTGTAGATATTTCATGAGGTGATTTGGGAATTAGCTTTGATGCTTATGGATGAGACTGTATTTTTCTCTGAGATGGACTTTCCATACAGAATGTGAGGGCCAGTTCAGCTACATGCCCCAGAACTGCCTCAACCCCCTACAGATAATTCTAAGTGCTTTAGCATGAGGCTTCACCACTCAGGATATTATTTTGGGAGATCTCACAGTCCTGGTGCGTGACAATGAGAGCTCTGTCACCCAGCTACCACTAAAGTTGAGTTTCTAGTGACTCTAGCTATCATTTTTGTTATTCCATTACATTTATTTCCCATAAACATTGAAAAGCTCAAGTGCATCTCCAGAAGAAAAAAGTCCCAGGATAATTTAGCAAATAAAATTATGCTGGAGAATGCAGATTTTATGTGAAAATGTGACCCGGTTATTAGAATACTATGAGACAAGCCACAAGAAGGCAAATGTTTTGCTGATGGTATCCATGTAAAATTGTAGTTCTTGGTAGATTTTGGCACACATTTCCCAGGGAAAAACCATTTTAGAATTTATTATGCTCTCTTGAATTATATGCAGAAGCGTTTGAAATTGTCTCCCTTGAGTTGGGTCTATTTTGAATTGATCACAAAAATTTAAGAAAAATATTTGCCCCTATTTTTCCTTGACTATTTTGAAATAAATGCAGAAACGCATATACTGAAAAAAATAAACAGAAAAAAAAGAAAAAGAACTGAAGAAAAGAAACAAAAGTCAAAAAATGTTCACTAGGTTAGACATTTGGGAATCTGAGAACTGATACTGTCTCTGCCTGAACAGTGAATTCCAGTTTCGGTTGCTTAGTTTGGTATGGTTTTCCTCCATGTGGAGCTGAGGACAGTGAGATCATATTTGTGACTGGAAATTATCCATGGACTAATAAGCTACTCCCTCACTTTTTAAAGTTTTAAGAATTATTACGACTTTCCTACAAACAATGGAATACAAATAATGTCCAGAGGCTCAGGACCATCTAATATAAAACAGGTATTTTCTGTTTAATCCAGTAATGTCTTATTTATACAATGAAGATTTAATTTTTAAACATTTAAACTTGCTTCTGGCTTTTGTCTTTCTCTGTGCCCGGTCTCCTTTGTTATACATTACAGTGTTGTGGTTGGATTCCACTGCAATATTAACTTGTCTAGCTAATTAATTTATTTGCACATGGTTTTAAACATATCTTTTTAAAATGTAGGCACTGTCTAGTTTTAGGAAAACACAATCCTCCTCTGTGTTTGGTTATTTTTTTCTTCTCAATATCCAGAGAACTTTCAGTTTTCCCCAAGATTGAGGCTTCTCCAATTCTCAAAATGGTTATTGTGCCCTAGTTCTCACAAGGTAGTCCAGTTACTTATTTGCCAAACTATCCAAGTTGGAGAAACTCTTAAACTAAGAAGCTGATAACTTTCACTTATTCTTATGTTGTTATAATTATCACAGTTATCGGAGTTACCAGAGTATCTGTCAATCTAAAATGATGAACTATGCTATTCATATAAAATCTCAATCTGGGAAGCAAAGTTATCCTAAAGGTCATTAAGTTTCAATTTTATGGTATTGAACTAAGAATATTTTTAGATATTCTCTCAGTTTTACATGGGCCAAAGTCACTTCCTCCAAAGGGGCTCCACAGAAGAAAAAGAAGGCCCTGGCTTGTAAGGATGTAATTAACTGTTTCACAGAGGCATTTTTCCAGCTGTTCTGTTTTAATCTTCAGATCTCTCACTAGTACACAAAGTGCTGCCTTTTGCAAAATTTGCAACTTCCAGCGTGGATTTCTTAATATAGTATTAGACTAGACAGAGGGGTAGAGAGATAACCTCTCTACTAAAATATATTTGGAAAAAATATCCATTAAAATAAAACCAAACAGGTTGTAGAAAGTCTCAGAATCCACCCCACCCTGCTTATGTGCCATGTGAAAGTCTGGGAAGAGACCACCTTGTACAGGACGTCATCACTTGCTTTCAAGGGAAACATGTCCTGAGAGACCGTGCTGCGTGAACTATTACACATTTTCTCCTCATTAACCCTCACATTCAGTTATGATTAATCTTCACGACCTTCAGTTAGACTTCTTCACTATTTCTTTGGCACATTATCAACTCTTAAGGTTTTTAGAATCCTGTTTATTTTAAACCCACTTTGGGGGGATTGCAGGGATCTGTCTTCGTTTGCTTCTAAACTGTAACACCTGGAGACACGGCCCCTTACTCTTCACCTGTTTTGTACTACACCTCTTGTTAGGAACTCAGCAAATACTTATGAAGGACTAATCCCAGCGATCTCCAGAAATGATATGGTTTCAAAGATTCCTCTGGAAAGTGAAATATGTGCCTCCACCCTTGTGAATGAGTAGATTTTAATTTTTTGTGCATCCTTATGCCAATTTAAGACTTCTCAATCACCATAGCACAAACTTATAACTAAATATTTCAAATTGAGTAATTCAAATTGAATACGATTCATGCAAGGGTTTTATTCAGCTGCGTAGTCAGCGTACAGTTAAGAATTTCATTTGACAAGCGGACATGGCATTCCAGGAAACATTTCAAGGCGCTCCGTGGACGTCGTAAGTGCTGGAAACAGAGCACTTTATTCAGCAGTTAACACGAACAGGAAGTACTTCAAAGAATCATTAAGGGAAAAAGGCTAAATGACTACTGGGCCTGTACTATAAAATGATTATCCTCAGAATAAAGAAAAGCACACAGTTGTGACAAAACTAGAGAGATCTCACATCCAATTCTATCCATTTCATACAGGATAGGATTTGGGGGTCACATGTAAAAAGCCAAACGATTCGTTTACAAGAAGCTACAAGCTGATGTTCAGTATTAAGACTACTACAATTAGTGTATGTTTAAAAAATTCTGAAAAAAATTCATATTTAAATTCCACTAAACTGGTGACTATAGGAGATGCTAAGTGATTGAAGAATCCTCTCCCCATTCTTGTGGATTATGAGTTCTTCTGAGAGATTTTCATTATGACAGTTTTGACCTCTGTGTATTCATGGAGACCATATTCTCCCCTAGAGAGAGAAGAAAAAAGCACTCATAAACACTTTTGAACACTATACTGCAAACATAACAATCCCCGATTAGTACAAATACGCTCGTTTATCTATCTAGAGACAATAAAATCTTTTTCACATAAACAGAAGCTAGCTGACAATCACCGAACATGCATAAACTTCTTTTGAAACATATTCACTCTTTCCTTACATGCCTTTAATTGATTTTGATAGAAACGGAATGTTTTTACATTATTCTACTTGAATAAACAAGCTTCATCTTCTCAAAAGACAATTCAACTCAATAAGATTATCATGCTTAATATCATTTGTACTTAAATAAGACAGGTGGGTCACAAAAAGAGAAGTAGCATCCTACAGTCACTCAAGGGTTGTAGCACAAAACTGTAAACTGAAGTAGAACTGTTAGGTACCCTCTGCTGTTGGCACAGAGTTGGTGAAGGCAGAAAATACTGCCATGGTCATTCTGAGGTATCCTAATCTTTTTGCAGCTGTAATTTTAAAACATTGTTAGATCTTGGAAAAATAAAAGCCTGAACTTGATCACTAGAATTTTATTTCCTTTTTGATAATTTATATACTTTTTAAGAAGGAAGAAATTTACCTAAATGTGGGTTTGTGACAGATTCTCTGCCATTTGCAGATACTAAGTTCCCCACAAGTGACTGGAAATAAACATGAACCAATCTGTTCCTACCATGGACTCTTGTTCTCAGGTCTGTGTCTCCTAGCCCTTTTGGAAACTACGATTAACCCTTTTTTGAAGGGTTAGGAGAAGGATTGAGCTCGCCAATTTTCTATACTGTTTTGATGAGAAAACTAAATTACATGTAGGGAGACTGTGCTTAAAATCCCAACACTTAGGCACTTATAGATTAAAAGAGGAGTCAAATCTTTATTCTTTCTTTTCCCCTTCCTGTGATATAGACAGGTATAGAATACATCTTTTCTTCTGAGAAACCTGGTCCCCTTAAAGATCATTTTTTGGGTGATATTCTGAAAATATCTTTTGAAAGCTACAATGAGTGTGTTCTCCAAAGTAATTAAAAGGTTTACTTACAGCTGTCTGAAACCCATTATATGATAACATTTTAGGAAGTATTTTATCTCCCAAAAGCAGATAAACAAACCCATGATTTTTGCCAGTAGGCTTTTCTTGTATTTGGGCTTACAAAGGCACTTGAAACTCTCAGGAGAGTAGTAAGTGTGATTGTTGTCATGCTCAGGTTGAAATAGGTCCTCTTCCTTAAGATTCTCAAGCATATATTATATCCTCCATAGGAAAACAAACAAACAAACAAAAATCTGCTTGCATTTCTCTTTATCTTGCTAGTTCTGTGCTTCTAAAATCCTCAATTCACAAATCACTGAGGATTTCATTCCAATGCTGATTCTGAGGCAGTAGGTCTGGAGTGAATGAGTTCTCACGCTACATTTCTGCTACCTGCTCACACAGTGTTCAGGCTTTTTTCCCACGGTCCACACCAAAAGAAAACAGCCTTGGTGAGCAGTCATGTCTGTTTTTCATTCTGTGCTTTGGAATGATTTTGTGCTAGGTAAGCAGGCACAGAGGAGATTCTGGCTGAGCTGACCTGGCCAATAGACAGAAGATTTTTATTTGAGCTCTTGCTATAAGCCCGTTTGCCAGCATCCTCTTGTTCCCCTTTTTGAAAGTAACAAAAACTACCTTGTGGGGATACTGAGAATCAATTAAATGTGAATGTCCTACCAATCAAGTCTCAAGTTATCCATGTTAACCCTTGTGAGAATGAGTGCAGTCACCTAAAGGGAGGGATTCCTACCACTGACTCCATCCCAGTGCAAAGCCAAGGATCAGAGTTTCAAAAACTGAATTTTGTTATTCAGTATTATCATCAAACATATTGAGGTGGCTTTTAAGTGCTCTGCCCCCAATTGGCCAATATTGATTTTTTTTTATTATCATTATTATTTTATTTTTTGGTACTGAGGATGTAATTCACGACCATGCACTTGCCAGGCAGGCGCTCATGCTGCTGAGCTAAATCTCTGACCCCAACCAATATTGCTTTTTTTCCTACCTTTAAGGACAAATTACAATTTGAAAATTGGGGTCATTTGAGATGATTGCTTCAGTGAGTCCCTGTAGACATCCTGCAGCATGTAACTTGTTTATTATTATTATTAGGTTCACCAAATTTATTATATATATATATATATATATATGTTAATAGTGATATTCTTAGCTGAAATTTTTGAAGGAAAAATTATCTATACAGTGTCATGGGTATTAAGGAAATTATGGCTGGTTGATTCCTGTTTTCAATCCTTTTCTCATTTGATTTCCTTATGCTTCAAACTTACTAAAATTTTACCAAATGGTACTCAACAATTGACATATTTTGCCTCCTGTTATTTCATTCACTTTGATTATTCTATCAACTTTCCCAGAGAAATATGTTTGTTGCTGGATCAGCAGTAAATCAGCAGGCCTGAAATAATAACTGATCTCTCTATTAGCTTCTTGTGTGCAATGTAATTGATTGTCAAAGAATTATGCAACAATGAACATTATAAAGAGAAGAAACAAGATCAGCTTTAGAGTTCTTATTTTGGGGCAGTTATAAGACCAGTGATTGAACATCATTTAACTCTCACATAGTCTTTTTTTGGTTTGTTTTTTGGTACTGGGAATCAAACTCAGGACCTTGCTCGTGCCAGGCAGGCACTGTGCCACTGAGCTATATCCCCAGCCCACCTCTCACATAATCTTAAAAAAGGCTGTTAACATCTCTTTAAATAGAAGTAATGAGGCTCAGGTGTTGAACAACCTGAACCAGCCCCATGGCGGGCCAGTGATGGAGTCAGGACTCCGTGCAGGCCACTCAGGCTTCTATTCCAGTTGCTCTGGGGTCTGTCCACTTATCACTGACCACTATCTATGGACTCAACCACATTCTAAAGATAGCCATGGCTTTTCATCTCTCCACTAGTAAGATCCAAGCCAACTTTCTTGGGTTCAGAGTATCTTAATCTCTATCCTATTTCTCTTTAAAATCATTTGTCCCATTCCCAGAAACCCAAGCAAGTGACCACATTCCCCCTGACGTGTCGCATGTAATGTCCCTTTCAAAGAAAACCCTCTTCCTCATTTGCTGGCCTCTCACACTAGCTTTGTAATGCAGATGAGGGCTCGCCTTTTCTGTGAAGCTTTCTCTTACTTTATCAATTATTAAATTTTTATCCCCTGTGCTCTCATTGGAGTTAGAATTGTAGAATTTCAAATGTGGAAGGAATCTCAAAGACCTGCTTCTTCCCTACACTCTTAAAGCTTGAGCTTGTTCTGTAGTTGAAAATTAGGAGAGTGTGAGTAACTGTGGAGTCAGTGATGCTCAGATTTTTCTGTCCAGTGCTTTGCTCTGCACTTTAATCACATCTTGGACTTCACAAGGTATGAACTCCAGTCTGCTGCTGCCCAATTAGTTCTGTGAGGGCATTTTCTAGTCTGTATATTTTTTTTTTACATATTCCTCCTGCCACCACCGTTATATAGAAGATGGCACAGAGTGCCATGTGTCTGGGCTGCCCAGGGCCATGTCCGCACAAGAATGTAAACTATGTGTGTTGTGAAAATAGACAGGTCATTATGTCATTCCTCCATTTCTGTTTCTGAAAAGATAGTTATTTCATTGTAATTTTGCTAATTAAGACAAATGGCAAAGCTTATGGGGTTTTTAATATGCTTGTAGTGTTTATAGCTGACCCACTTTACTTGCTGTTAACAAACTGGGAAGCTTTTGGTATGTTTGACTGTAAAAACTTTGTGTATGATGCATCATCTTTGTCTTAATGAAATTTTATTTATTCCTAAATGCAAAAATATTTTTTTAAAAATATTTTTTGAAAAATTAATCACAGTGCCATACTGCTGTGTGTACATAGTATGTGTATATTAACAATTCTATATATCTTGGTTTCAAAAGGAACCATGTATCCATAAATTCAATTATATGTATATTTTCAATTGAGTCACAACTATAAAACATGTTTTCCTTACTCAAATTTCTTTCTAGGTTTATATTTTAGTGCCAACCAGATAATTTAAAATTTTAGATACTATATCATTAATATTTTGGCAAATGAGAATCACTCATCTTAATGCTAAATCTTTTAGTATAAGGCATCTAATTTATTTCAAAGATATATTCAAATAATTAAAGTGTTCCTTACATATCTTATAATCACCAATTTAGTTTCTCTTTACTGGAAATTTTCCCAAATGAATTACATTAATATATATATCCAATTTGCAATTCTAAAAGAATACAAAAATCTGATCACCAATGTAAAGCACTTAGTATGACCCCTTTTAACAGTAGAAGCTTAGTAAATTTTATTTATCTTCTGCTTTTGTAGTTCTGCATTATGGATTAATGCAACATCTTATAAATGAATTGGTGGCATGAATATCCAAGAAAGAACAAAGGTACATTTTATCTATGATAGTGAACATGAATCAATTCCCTAGGAGAGATAACCACTTTTACCAAGATAAAAATTTATATAACAGAACATTTTTCTTACAGTTCTCTTCCATTTCCAGACATTTTGAATCCACCAAAGGGGCACTGAGCAGATACCACACTATAGCAATTTACCCTAAAAAGGAAAGAAAGAAAGAAATGATGTACATGACAGGTAATACTTAACCTACAAAGTAACTCAGAAATTTGAAATTTTAGAAATTTAGAAAACTTTTTAAGAACTTCATTGATTTTCATGTAATATATTGAGATTTCTTTTAAAGAAGCAAGATAAATTAGAATGCAGAAAGGTATGAAGATATAAATATACTACTTAAATACATAAATAAAACATGTATGTGAATAGTCATTACATCATGGCTCTAAGAATTGGTAGAAGAGCCATATGCCCTAAAAAAAAAAAGAGTATGGTTTGCTAGAGACTGGAATTTATTGTCTGAGTGTTCTTTATTGCCTACATTTAATAAGATTTTTAATTCTCTCAAAATGGATGAACTTATCATGTAATTTATATCAATCAGTTCATTTTTTTTCATAACTTGGTTCAGTAAATTGCTTAAATAGAGGCCTTGGTAGGAGTTGAAATTTTAAATTCATCTATCAGATTTCATAAAGTATTCAAAGATATTTACATGAAGAAATATAATTACAGAGATGTGAATAGAATTAACGAAAAAATGATAGAAAGAAAGAGAAGGAGGAGAAGTTAGAATGTATTTTTACAGGCTATGAACAATTTGTTTAGTTTAATATTTCTTGGAGGCCAAAATTAACAGCAAAATATAATTACCCACATGATTCTAATTACACACCAAAGGCAAAAATAAATAAAAGCATAAAAAATTACATTTTTAAACTTTTCCCTCTTTTCATGATACTTTAATATGTAGACAACAGAGTAACCACCAGATAAACTGTACTGTACTGAAAGAGTTTGCTTTGATTTTGAAATAACATTCAGATATTTCCATTAAAACCCTTACTATCCCAGTTCTCAGAGTTCTACATTTTCCCTAGGCCACAAGATTCTTTTCCACATATCTCTTACGAAGGGAATCATTCTGTAAATAAATTTCCACTTTTAAAAGTAGACTTTTCTGTGCTTTAATTGCCCTTTAAATGGAAGAATTAGATCCCTACTTTGAAATTATTGGTAAAATACCAGTTATACTAGACTTAGAGAGGCTAGGTAGCAATTTGAACTTTTGTCTAAGTGCCTATTTCTCAATCTTCTGTTAAGTTATACTAAACTAGTTTCCTTTGCATTGTGGAGTCAAAAGATCAAGATTATTTTCTGCACATTTTGGATGAATGCTTGTTAAAGAAACTTGTTAGGACATCACCCCACTGAGGGGCATGGAATCCCATCAGAAATTTCTGCACTATTAGAACAAAGCGGACATATTCTTATCAGTATATATTCTAAAACAATAATACTCAGCCATCATCGCTAACCTAATGGCTGCTTGGTATTTAGAAGACAACAAGAATCAAGTTCCAAAAAAGTGAGAGGCCAGTTCCTCACTGAGTTAGTACCCTGCTTTCCCGTGACACCAAAACTTTTGAGTATCATGGTCTTGCATTGTAAAGCATTTTGGAATTTTGATTTTGGAGTGGAGAGTACTCTATTAATAGAGAGCCTAGGTTGAGAACCATTCTTCAGACTGTGAGATAAGCCTGCTGCTCGGCTCTGTCATGGTCAGTGCTATAGTACAGTGCTGTGGGCAGATATGCTAATATTATTAACACTGACACTCAGGAAGCTAAGGAAAGAGTTTCACAGTTCAAGACCAGCTTGGACTGGATTGTTAGACAAGCAAAATAGGGTGCAACTTAAAGTAAACACTAACTAAATAACGACTCTCTTCATGGCCAGGAAGAGAATTCTAGAGCTCTCAGCATGGATACTCGTCAGTGTCTAAGTTTTTAAAAACTGGAATAGAAATGATAAGAAAAGTAATCTTAGGCTGTTGCAGCCCTGAAACTTAGATTTTCAAACTTAAAGTATAAAAATTAAACATATAAGCTAGGCCAAAATTGAAAGAGATGTTCCTCAAAATTTAATATATGCTTCTAAATTATGACCTTCAGATATCTCTTAATTGCAGAATAAGACTCTGAAATAAGAATTAAATATTTGGATGGATATTAAATAAACATTATCTTAAGAAATTAAACCTTAAAGCAGAAATTTGTCTTTTATTTCCTTTGCACATAACATTGTGTGAAGTACCTAGAAAATACCCCATAATACTTATATTATATAAATAAATGAAACATCCATAAAATAATCTGGCTAAGTTACTCCAAAAGGCTGGGGTAAGTTAAAGAAAATACCCCTCTCAATTTTTTTTCCATTATAGCAATTAATTTTCTTCATGTTCTGGATTTCTTTGTTGTTGTTCTATTTTGTTTTGTTTTACTTTCTTTTGTTTTTGCTTGTTTTTCAGCATGCCATGTCATTTCTTGAAAAGTTCAAATTAACCTGTTAATATGGCTGATGTTGGATAGGCACATATTACCCCCCAGTCACTTGACTTACCACACTGTACCAGACTGCAGAGCGGAGGAGACGGTCACTGCTTTGTCCAGGTCTTTGGTGAAGATTCCTGCTGATAAGCCATAGGTGGTGTTGTTTGCTCTCTTGATCACTTCATCTAAGGTCTTAAACTTCATGATTTGCTGCACTGGTCCAAATATCTATAGCATAATAATTAAATGACATAAAATAATAGATTTCTAATATTTTAAATGGTGGCTTAATATAGTTCTGTCTCTCTCTCTTTCTCTCTCTCCCTCTGTCTGTCTATCTTTTCTTGACTATTCTAAATTGGATAAGATTTTGTTTCTCAACTCTGACTTGTTCATATGGATCAAAATAAATAACTATCAAAATGGTAGGTGATAATAAGTAATGTTGATGTGTTAAATTCTCTTTGAGGAAAAGTAAGATACAGATAAATATGAGTAGGTATTTTCTAAATCTTGGAATTAAGCTTTCAAGAATTTGATTGTGGATCAAATCACAAACTTGAGAATATCTCCTTAGAAACATTTAGAATTTCCTCCCTAGCTTTCTTCATCTTCCAAGTCACTACATATAATAATAGTAAGTCCAAGAAAGCAATGCTTACTTTGTTGGATAAACGAGGAGGCAATGGTTCATAATATCTGTGTTTTAAATATCACCGTGCCACTGAATTATCAGGTATTCTAATGCACTTCAACCTTTTCATAATTCATAATGAAGTTAGGTAAGACAACATAAATTTTTACTCAGATTCTACCGTGTAGCCAAATCTTATGTAACTCTTATGTAACTTATATAACAAACACAATGTTTATTTTTCCAAGAGTTTAAATCTCGAACACTGCTCCTCGTAGAAACAAAAGCATGAGTTTACTGGTAATGTCTATAATCACAAAACAGGAAACAAAACTCACACTTGGTATATTCCAGTCTAAATCATTCTTTTCATTTTTGGTAGACTCTATTTAGCACAGCCATAAATCAACTCATTCTGTGTTCAGCCCCAGGGAGGAGAAAAACTACTAATTGTCTCTTAAAAAAGACATAGCTATAGTCTATTAAAGTTAATTTAAATTAAATAAAAGAAGGCTCCTTAGAGCACTACCAGAATTTTCTAGGAATGTGAAAGATGGTAGGCGAAAACCAGAAACAACACGTGATTTTCTGGTGTTTCCCACTGATTTAAGTAGTATAGGGGACAGGGGATCCCATTGAGGAGAAACTAGGTACAAATCCCAACGGTGTAAACCTAATCATGCTATTGCGACCCAGAACTAGACAGATAGCAAATATTGCAATAAAGGTGCTCATGTGTTGCATAACTTTTGTTGAACACAGAATATAGCTCTAGATTTCCACTCTGAAGCATCAAGCTAGCTATTCTACCTCTTATATTATAGGCACACTATAAATAGTTCCTCAGTTGAAAATGTTTTTCCCCTGTCTGGTATTATTCAAGATATGTAGGGACTGCTCTAATTAGAAAATATTTTATCAATAAATGAACAATTATAATTCAGTTAGCTAAATTGATAAGGAAAACGAAGTATGCTTGATTACTCATACATATTGGGTTTTATTTGTGTTTTTTCTGTTTTCTCGTGTTTGAAAATCCGATTGGACATTTGTCTTCTTGGTTTGAAGACATTCTGAGGGGTAAGAGAAATAACCTCTGATACTCAATCATACCATGGATACGGAGGACAAATGACTGAAAGGGTTATGCTTCAGTATTTTGAGTTGTCACTATTTCCTCATTGTAATGCGTGACACAACACCTTCATAGTCAGAGGTGGTGCATCTTCCTCTGCTTTACTGAAAACTCTCAGTGTGCATGAGGCAAATTACTTATCATTCCTAAGTGCGAACTTTCTAGTTGTAAGCCATATCTCTGAATAACATCTATCCTATTATTTAGTTGGTGCTCACCAATTATTTCACTGTAACATATGACACTGTACAATATAGTTTTGTACTTATATAGTCATATATATATGTAACTGTAAGTATATATCCCCTGCACACTTGCCAATCTTCACATGCTCATTATCTCAGATATTTTAGATGTTAGACTTCCTAACTTTGTGCATTGTGTCTAAATATTGAAGGGATATTGAAAGGCATATGCATATACATAAATGTTATATATAAATACATTTGTGACTATATGTAGACACACATACAAATATATATGTACAATTCATAATTTAGTTTTACATTTGCACATATTAAATTAGAAAGTCATCCTACAAGGTGATAAGCACATCCAAATATGAAATGACATAGATAAATATTATTATCAAATATATAGATGATACTTGGTAAGAAAAAGCCATAGGGTTTATTCATGTTGTCACAAGTGACAGGATTCTTTTCCACGAGTTTATAGTTGAGAAGGACTATCCTGAAGATTGTAGAGCACCTTGGACTGTATTTAGCTGGAAATTCTCCTTAGGTCCAGTGGATTTCTTACTATTTTTTAGTTTTTGTTATATAATTTTATTTATTTTTATTATTATGTATAACTTAAACCTTTATCAGCAGAAGCACAGGATTCCAGTTTTGCTGACAAAGAATTTCAAAGAGCTGAGTTCAACAGGATGGACAGACACTGTACAGTGTACACATGCAGGACACCAAAACCAAGCAAATCAAAAACACAGCAACAAAGGTAGTGGACAGAAAGAGCCTTTACCTCCTCTTTGGCAATGCGCATCTCGTCGGTCACGTTGGAGAACACAGTGGGCTGGATGAAGTAGCCTTTGTTCCCCCAGGGGCCTCCGCCACACTCCAGCTTGGCCCCTTGTTTCTTCCCACTCTCGATGAGGTCCAGAATTTTATTGTACTGTTCCTTGTCAATCTGTCCCAGAAATAGCACATGAGAATGAATAAATACCAGTTAGCAACTTATAAATATAACAATTGCTGGACCTGTTAATGAAGCCTTCAAAATGCTAGGATACAGTTAATAAACTTAATATTGAAACAACAGGTTAACTGAACTTCATAATTATTCTTTGGGTGCATTTACATCATATAAGTTTTTAGGGAAACACCTTGAAGATATTTGTATTTAATGTCTACAGATTGGCATGTTCTTCACATGGACCTTTCACATAACTGTCATTTGTTTATTTGGGAAAACAAGTTTATTAATGATCTCACACCTGGACACTGTAGTCCTACTTGAAATAAAAGGAGTAGAAGGGGAAAAATGCTCTGATTTTTGTTCACTTAGACACGGCAGTTGAGAAGCTGATGCTTTTGGACTTTAGAAAGACTCCTGTACTGTATGTGTTTGGGTCTCCCCGTTCCTGACCCTTCCCTTGGGCCTGCTCCATCCACATCTTTGCACAGCACATTCTGACCATATTCTGGGTATCCTTCTCTGTTCAAGTCTATAGTTGTGATTCTTATTTCTGGTTGATATCATTATCATCCTTCTATTTTGTTAAATGGGTCACATCTAAATACATAACTGGTGTAGCAGAAGTTAAATGAGCTTTTTAAACTAACACTTTTATAAGTGGAAAAAGGATCTCAGAGCTCTGGCTGACAATACCACGAGTGAGCATGTACCTCCTCCTCCCAGGCACTGGACTGAGGTGGCTGTCTATCATCTCACTTCCTGTATTGATCAAGTGCACTTGGCTCCACATTGCTGGTGAAGGCTGCCTGTCTCAGGTGTTTTGGAGTTAAGGATTAAAGGAAAAATGAGAGCTTCAGAAACCAAGTAGGAAGCTGAGGCTCTTGCCAGTTTAATGCCTATTCTTTATCTTCTTCTTGGATTTGGCAAATTTTTCATGTCTTCTAAAGCTCAGAAAAAGTTTCCATAACATGATTTTTAACTGTCCCCGTACCTAACCGGATTAAGTGCTATGTGTAATCGGAAGCTATTCTTAAAAATTTAGCACAATACTTTGTTCAGTGCTTTTCAGTGCAGCTTCAAAGTCCAGGTCTCCCTACTGTGACAAGGTGTTAATACATTTTTTGTGTGGTTAGCATCATTTTTCTCTAAAATGAAAATATTATTATTCTGAACTCTGAAATCAAATAGGGAACTTCTTTTAAAAATGAAGAAAAATATACATATATGAATACCCATTTATAGTACAAATATAAATAATAACACAAATAATCCTAAAAATTGCTCCAGCAATCTGATATTTTAAGTTCATATTCTTCCAATAAGAAAAAATCAAAAGTATTTTAAAAAATTATTTTCCAAGTATTTTTGGCAATTATTTTCTCCATAACTGTTTTGTCATGACACTTAAGGAAGAAAGTTCTACAATCCTATTTAAAAAACCTCGATTCCCTCAAATATTAGTGAATGCGGAACTGGGTTCCAGTTAGTGAGTGAGAGCTTCTTTTCCACAAAAACAGTCTAACAACAGGTGAAAAACTTTAAGGGTCAAAACCCCAGGGTCTTTTTGGTCCTCCATCTCTCAAAGTTCCAAAATACCTGCTTACACAGTTCAGTCTGTGATAAAAGCCTATTCATGTATTGGATTTAAAGTCATTAATCATCAGATTACCTAAGAATCTAAACTTTAATTTTCTTCCAATTCTTTGAAATATGTACAGATCTTCTAGTAGAGGAAAGTATTGCCCAATCAATGCCCAATATTCATTTATTTTTAGATATTTTTCTCTCCTCTTTTTTACTATTAATGGGAAAAGACTTTAATGTTTAGATAGATAGAGAAATAATCAACAGAATATTTAGAAATGTTTTTTTTATAATGGGAGACCAATTTTAAGTTGTAATTGGTTATATTTCTTGACATTCATTTGAGAATTTACCAAGGTGATAAAATTGTCAATTATTCATACATTGTAATAAAACTCAAAAACATTTATAAAATATAATGAAATTAAAATAAAGCAAATTATAAATTCATTTGCCAGTTAATGTAGGGCTCTGAGCTGTCAATATTTAGCATAATCTAAGTCCTAAGATTTTCATCCTGAGATACTGAGGATGAACAGGAAAACCCAAGACTCCTGAGTTACCTAGATGACAAACAGCATTAGGTCAGTGAATATGTTTTCCTTGTTCTTTTTGGCATTGCTTTGTGTCTACTCAGGACTCATCAGAGTTTAGCTAAAAGTAGTTTTCACAAATGTTGAGTTTTAAAATTATTTTTTTTGCTTAACCAATTAGTCAAGAATAGTTTGGTTTCAAGTCAACAACATGGAACGGTGTTGTAACAGTCTGAAAGAATAACGCCTCCAAGCCTCCAGCCTCTAGGGCATCATCTGTCATCAAAGGCTCTATGGCATTGTGGGCCATTTAATCCTCTGTCCAGAATGAGTAGCATTCTTGATCTCTACTCACTTGCTTCAAGTAGAATCACACATTCCTACCAGCTGTGACAACTTTAAACATCCCTGGACGTGACCAAATATCCCTGGATGGGGAGCAAAATCACCCCTAGCTGAGGATTGCTAATCTAGGGTAGGATGTTAAAGGAACAGAGAAGACTCAAAGAAACATGCAAGAGCTTGAATAACTGATCATAAAAAAAGAACTGCGTGAGAAAGATGAAATGGTGATCTTTGAAAAAGACCATCGGAGATACTCTTATTAAAAATGGTTCTAAAAACACAGATGATAACTTGGGGTTCCAGGAAAATAACTGGGCTTTCACAACTAATTGGGAAGTTTGTCAGGAATCTAGAAACCAGAACGCCTAAGGGGACCTCTACTACCTTAAGTTGAGAGTGACCAAAAATTTGAAAAAGATTTAAGAGATAGCTGTGTAAAGGCAGCTGGGATTAAAAACTGATTCTGAAGCAAAACTGCTATAGAGGTATATGAAGTTCCAGGATAGACAAAGAGTTGTGTATAGGAATCAAAAAGTGTGTGGTTCGAGGAAAGCAAGAAATTGCTACTGTTTACTAAATTTCTCACATCTTTAGTCCCAGAATGACTTCAATAGTGTTTCTAGAAATGAAAAATAGACAATACAAAAATATAATTTTTTTTAACATTGGAAACCAGTGTTTAAATCACTGAACTGTTATATTATTGTTACTGAAGACTTTGTATAGATTTGACATAAGTTTATTAAAAATGAGGCCTACAAAGGATACTGTATTATCGTCACCTGAAATTATATTATTTTTATTCTCACCTGAGGGCCTTGGTTCACACCTGGGGTCAGAGGATTTCCAAGAACATATTTCTTAGCCCGTTCAATGCTCCTTCGAACAAACTCATCATAAATGGATTCTTCCACAAAAAGCCTGGATGCGGCTACACAACACTGTCCCTGGTGGTAGAATAGACCTTGGTGTGCAAATTCAACAGCATTGTCCACTGAAAAAACAAACAAACAAACAAACACCATTAAAGAAGAAATATATTCTAAAGAGTGCATATTTAAATATGCTCCCAGAGGTAACATGGTGTCATAGAAAAACAGTGGGTCAGGTAGTTGGACATGTGTGTCCACCACTTAAAATCTAGAGGATAAATTGATCTTTGTAATCTTTTACTTACTATGAAAATAATGACAATAAATAGTAGAATCTGGAAAAATGATTGTCATTATTATAATTTTAATAAGAATATAACTAAGAATGTGAATTTTACCCCAAGATCAAATATTGTTACAAATGATTTTCATAAATATCTGCATTAATATTTAGGCAATTGTGAATATTTCCTCCAAGCATCAGGGTTGAACTCAATAACAAAGAAAATTTGAAAATATACATTGTATTCAAGTACAGTGGTACCTCAGTTCACAACCTTAATTCGTTCTAGCATTTTGGAAAACGTGGCCACATTTGTGTTTGTGTGGAAAAGATGGTTATGGTCGTGTTTGTCTCCCAGTTCAGACTTTGCAAAGAAAAACAAATTTTGCTAAATGTTTCTGTTTGCAAGGCAAAGTGATCAGGAAATTCTTAATAACATTCTTCATTGTTCCGATTAGTAAAAAAAAAAGTTGATCTTTCTGAAAAAACCTACAACAGGAAAACAACAAAATCTACCAATAGTCATTATTACCCCTACTTTGTAATCTTATTGTAGGAACAACATTTTCAAAATCTAAAAGTGTACAATATTATTTTTTAATATTCATGCTAGAGACTCTTATCTGTTTAGCTGGCAGGATAAGACTAGGTTTCTTCATTAGTAGAGCTTTACTAAGAACAAAAAGGACGTCTTTGCATTTTAATATTCTAAATGCTAAAGATTCAAATTTAACAGTAAAACAACTGGGTGTGAATTTGAGAACTAATCATACTAATTTAATTTGTATTGAAAGCAATTTACCGACAAACTAGTGAAGCTGGGAATGTTGTCATGTTGTAGACTGTTTCAGAAGACAATAAATTAATTCTAAAAACTTCAATTAAAATAAAAAATAAAAAAACAATAAATTAATTCTAAAAACTTCAATTAAAAAAAAACAAAACCTCATGGGGGACAGAGTATACATTTCCTGCCTGGTAAGTACAGGTTTAATTCTCCTCTGACTATCTCAGTTAAGGAGTGTATAAGAAAAGAGATGACAGATATAAAATTATCATCTCTCAAGTTGATCTAGGTCCAGCATATCTGAGGTATCTTATTATGCCCAGGCTAATAATTAAATAGGTGGAATTGTTAAAAAATACAACCTACCTAACTCATAAATGCAAAACATTTACATTATTCAGGGTTCAGCTGAGGAAAGAGTGATTGATTTCAAAACAAGAAGAAAGTGTCTGTGGTTAACTTTTCTATGTGTTCCAATGTTAGGACAATTGAAAAATTTTTCTAGATTAACACTGTTCTCTGATGAATTCCTTACACTCTGAAGCAAACGTGTTTGGAAACCCAAGTTCCCTGCCTGGCGCGATCATCCCAGAAAGGATGGAGGTGCGGGCTTAGCCCAGGTGGCCGTACTCACAGTCAGCGTCAGCAAACACAATGCAGGGGCTCTTGCCCCCCAGCTCCAGCGTGACCCTCTTCAGGTTGCTCTTCCCCGCAGCTTCTTTGATGAGTTTGCCAACCTGAAAGGCAGCATTGCAAAGCAGGAGACTCACTACGTGCTCGTGAAGACAGGCTGAGCATTTTACATTTATCTGATGTTTGTAGCATAATCAGATTTCAACTGGAAGAAACACTAACTGACAGTTTTTTCCAAAATTAGCACCTGGAGACTTAAAAGGCTGCTCTATTCAAGTATTAAGCAGACATAGAGATTAATCAGAAAAATGTTCATAGTAACGGTGTAGAGATATACAGCACAAGTAGTCTTGATGTGCATGGCTGGAGAGGAGGTATTTTCATTTTCATCAAAACTGCCTCTCTCTACAGACTGATCGCACACCCTGACCCAACCCAGAATTATTTCTTGGGTCTCAGCTTTCCTGTACTACATTCAGAACTCTGTCCAGCCAACTGCTGTGTTCCCTACCTCTTGAATGTCATCTTTCTTTTTCTCATTTTAGAGCCATCCTAACCTGGATTGCATTCATGTCCTGCCCTTAGTTGGGGTCCACCCCAGATGTTAGCTTTTTCTTGGTTCCTTCTTTATAACTCTGTGTACACATGACCCTTTTTCTCCTGGTCTCCCAATAACACACATAAAGATTCTTTCATAGTTGGAGAATGCTTCACATTGGATTAGTTTTAAAAGTATAAATTTACAAATATTTACCAAGTAGATTGTCACTTCCATGGTAGTAATTACCATGTCCTCTTACTGCGTAACTCTCCTCAGTAGTGTTTATCACAATGGGCTCCCTTAACTCTACCACCGCTGTGTATGTGTGTGTGCATGTATGTATGTGCGTGTGTGTGTGTGTGTGTGTGTGTGTCCTTGCATCTGCTCCCTCCCTCCTGTACCTAACACACCTTTAGACAGTGGAGTCAGAAGAAAAGAGAAATTGTGTCTGTTCAGTGCTATCCCTTCAGTTAGTGGACTCCTACTGTTCTGATTTCTTCCTGAATGCCAGATGTCTCTTCTCAGATAAAAGAATTGTTTTAAATTTATTTTTCCTTATTTGTGGATCACTTCCCATAAAGATTATTGTCTGTGGCTGTTTTTGTTTTCCTGCTTCCAAAACCTGGCTTGTTTTAGTAATGTTATGACTTTTATTGACACTTTAATTCACTAAAAGGACCTTCACCTTTCTCTTTTATATATTTATTTTGTTTTGCTTCTTTTAGTCTTTGGATTCCTTTTCCTCCTACATGTGTTAAAAGAAATTTCTGTGCCTACCGAATGAGAAGGTAGACTGTGGATTTGCATTCCATGTGGCTGCTGGAGGGACTGGCACTGTGCATTACAGCACAAAGTACTGGCGAATCTGATGGGAAGGTTTCATGAGACTCAGCCGATCCCCTAACAGTAGATTAATAAAGCTCAACTAAGCGTAGGCTATGATTAGAGAACTCTGTCTGAACTTTCTCTCATAGTCCATTTTCCTTTCACAACATGTTTCATGTGACCATTTTCGAAAACTGAATTTTCGTTCCAGGTGATTAAGAATTCCCTTTTTCTTGTCCCTTTAAAGCCCAATTTCAAACTTAACAAGAATGCTTAACATTTCTGAGCCACACTGCCAAGGAGGGGTAGCATCAGGAGGGAACCCAGAAGTTTCCCAGTCTTCTAAGGTCAAGCTCACTTTTCGGCAAGTAAAGTGACCCCAGAACACTGTAGGAGCTTAGGGATGAGCCAGGTCCAACGGGCAGTGATGCGGGCAGTGGGATCAGGGGATGCAGACGGACAGGAGAAGAAAGCGACCTAGAAATGTGCCCGTGTCTATTAGGGAAAAGGTCACAGCTCTGGGTTGGGGAGCCTGTGCCTTCCTTCCTGTCCCTTCTCTGCGGTGCTTTCAGTCACTTTAATAGCTGTTGCCAGGTCTTGTACATTCTTAGATGTCTACGGAAAATCCTGGATCTAGGGTTGTATTTTCTTTATCTTGGGCATTTGCCCAAAGCAGCCTATTTCTATTTTATCTGTAAAAGATGACATTTTAAAAATATTTGTTTATTTATATACAAAAAATCAAGAACAAAACATTTGAAAACATCAAGAACAAAAATATTTAACATCTATGTCAATTTTATATGCCAATAGGTTTTTAAAAAGTCTTTTGTAAGATTATAAAATAATCACAATACCTTCAATTTATTGCCTAGATATGTAAGTGTCCAGTCTTTTGGCTTTCAAAGGTCAGGAAAAGAGAGTCCTGAATGAGCTCAGAGATAGGCACTGCTACTGAAGTTTCATAATCTACAGCATACGACTGCATTCACTCACAGGAATCACTGTGGCCTAATCTATATTTACTGTCATAAACTTGATCAATCAAATGACGCAGACCAAATGATCCATTCCTAACAAGGCAAGTAATGAATGTGCTCAGCACGGTTTAGTCTTCTGAGGTTTGTAACTGATATTTCATTTCATTTGAACTATAAATGCTTATATTGTGTAAATAAATTTGAAAGCTAGAGTAAACAACAGAGATCATTAAAAGTGAACCTGAGTTTTAAGGAAGCATTGGCTTCAGAACAGTCCCATAAACACCCTTGGCATCATGGGCATTGAGGACACGTCTCGCAGCCAGGCTGAGTAAGTACATTACCTCTGTGGACCCTGTGAAGGCCACCTTGTCCACGTCCATGTGTGAGGAGATGGCGGCCCCTGCGGTGGGCCCATAGCCAGGGACAATATTCACCACCCCGGGAGGAAAACCCGCCTGAAAGGACAAAAAGCAGAATGGGTACCACGGAACTCAGAAAGATGCACGACAGGGAGGGTGGGGTGCAGGCTGCTTGTGCGGGCTCATCTTGTGCATTGCCCTACAACTGATAAAAGTGCTTAAGCAGCTTTGTTCTTTACTGCTTATGATTATTATGCCATTTCTTGACCTATTTGAAAATAACCCAATAGAGATCATCACAGGCAGCTGGAAACCAGCTTATGGTTACAGCATGGATACGATTAATTTCACCATGAATTTGTGCCCCTGAGAGTTGGACAAAAGCAAAAAAATAATCGATCAGCAGATGACTGACTTCAAGCCTCTGCTCAGGCTTCTGGTGTGCCTTTGGGGGAGATTGATGTGCACTGACTGCCAGAAATCCCACCTAACAGCCCTGCTCAGGGCACCCTCACCACTGGACAAAGCCTTCCAGAGCAGTGCAGCAGACAGTAGCTCTAAATGAGACTACCCATTGCAGCTGGAGCTCTTAGAGTCTCGTGCACGCTTTGACCCAGGATGCTTGCTTACCTCTTTAATTAAGGATGCCACATGAAGAGCAGTGAGGGGAGTTTGTTCTGCAGGTTTGACCACCACTGTGTTTCCACAGCTGAGGGCGGGTCCTAGCTTCCACATCAGCATAACCAATGGGAAGTTCCACTGGAAAGCAACATTCCATACTGTGGGTTTGTTTTGCTCAAAGACACAGTTATTAATGTAACTTTGACATTATGTCTCCCCCCACCCTTGCAGTTGTTAAATAATGACTGCAGTAGTTGGACAGGCCTCCAGTGTGTTGTGCTTAAGTCATGGCCAGAAGGGACTGATAAATGACAACAAGCTAAGAAAAGTAGATAAAATGCTAATAATAGTGCTAATAATATCCTGTCTGCCTCAGAAGGTTGTCTCGAGATTTAACTATGTGGAGTAAATGTTTATTCATGTTAGCTATCATTAACATTTAAGGTTATAGAGTTTGCGAACAAACCAGCTAATTCAGTAGAAATGCTGATGTCTTTACCTTTCAAACTCATTGAAACAAAAGTCATCATCCCTTCCTCATTTAAGAAATTCAGAACACATTGCATCTTTTTAGTTGACCTTTCAAGTATTCCAGCTATTCTGAAACAGTCTTTCCTTGTTGAGTTTAAAAGAAAATATTCATAATATCACTACAAAGTGCTGTTTTCTCTAGGGGAATTTGGGTATGAGAGCCTTTTATCTAAAGGTGCAGCATATTCCCTAAGTGCTCCAATGCCTCTGGCACCATTTACTCCGCTTCAATTAAAAAGTATTTTTAAGGACTTGGACAATTGTTGCTACTCTTGTCCGGGATGAAACATCGCAGAGGGGGCAGAGTAGAGGGGAGTAGGAGGCACATTCCCCTGGAGGGCTGTCCTGCAGCAGAGGTCACCTCTCCGACACATGCTTATGAATTGGACTGCATAATACAAGTTTTTGAAAACAACTATTAGATTAAAAGTTTAAATTTGTTGATGCAATATATTGAAACATGTTCAAAAGTTATATAAGGATATAGATGAGGTGCCTCATTCATATCCTAGAAACTCAGCAACAGAAAGAGCAGGTTAAACGAGTCCTATTTGTTGAAATTCACATCACTTTTTACCAATTTACAAGTATCGATTTGTAAAACTCTGTCGGTCCATCAAATTGAATCCGGTGTTTAAGTATACGGGAAGACAACTTACAGGTATGATTTGACCACACACTCCAACAGGTTCATGTCTTGTGTAAGTGAAGAAGTCTCCATCTGGAAAAGAAAGCACACACTCAGTCCTGTGGGGCGCTGGTATATTCATCATTTATGGGGTGGAAGCTTGAAGCCGATGTGAGTGGAAGTGGAGATAAATATATAATAATTAACAATGAAGAGGAAAGAGTATCTCCAATGATTTACAAAACAAAAATGTAAGCTCTCAAATTGCAATTTAGAATAATAGAAATCATAAAATGGAGTTAGAAAAAAGTAAAGATGCAAGATTAGATAATATCTGAATGATAATTCGGCTTTTCATCATCTAGAGGGATATTTCCTATATTATTATTCTCAAAGTTTTATAGAAAAAGAAAGAGAAGCAAGATAGTACACCCAGCTAAAAAAGAATGATATTCAAATGCATTTTCAGCAGCTCAAAGTTCTATCAGTAATATGATCCCTTTAAAAAAGTAATATGATGCAAAATTAGTGAAATTTGAACAGGATTTCCTAAAACTAGTAAACCTTTCTATTGATTTTTCTCTGAAATGTTTTAATTTTGCCTGCTAAACAAAATGTAGTCTCTTGATCCACGGCAGAGGTGGAATGTGGGGGATTGGGATGCACAAAACAAAGTATATTTTTCTGTCTGTAGTTAACTAACCAATGTGTTTCATTGTTGGATGTGGCCTTTCTGAGAGCACCACTGCTCTTGGTGGTCAGTTCTGTTCCATTCTCCATAGCAAGGCCTGTTTTCCTGAAGAAGTATATGTACTTTAAATGGCTTTTCCCATGTGATCTGAGGGTAAAGTAATATAATCACTAAGATAGACACCTTTCTCATTGTCACTATGGTTTAATTTTCCATTTTTAGTTTGCGAATACCACTTGTAACATACTGGATGCCCAAGTGGATTAGAAATACACAGGAGGGCCATCATGGTGGGGTATCTTTATTGTTCAAGGCAATGTGTTTACCTGAGTTATAGTCTATCTATGCTATTTCTCAAACTGATGCTTTTTCATATGAAGTGTTTTTTATGTTTCTGTTTTTATGTGTATATCCTACTAAATAAATATATGCATGCATAATTCTGTGTATAAGTTCTCAACTCAGGCTATAAGCAGTTTTATTTTAAAGCCATCTGAAGCCAATCAAAATGGACTGGTTTGTTTAATTATTCTGGTCTAACTGTACTGAGTTTGAACAGGCACAGATGCCCATAGCTGGCCCACAATGGAGCAGCCAGAAGGCTTTGGTGATTACACAGTGGAAGGGTATAAGTGTCACTATGGGAATGAAAACCAAATAATTCATGTCTGAGGCCAGGTATGAAAAGTTTGGGCCCTTAGAGAGTCACCCCAAATCAGTAGTTATAACCGTAATATTGTTCCTCCTTCAACTGTTTCTAACATATCTGTGGTATTATCTTCTGCATGATTATGTTGCATCAGCTTTAAAGGACTCTGTTGGATCACTACAGAATTGCCTAAATTAGAGCTTTGTTGGCTTAATGTCAGGTGAAAACAGTTTTGCCTTGATTGGCTGCTATGTTCAAGATGGGTTCAAAATCATTCAGCTCTCCAGCAATCCACTCAGCCCCGCCCTGCCCTGAGGTGCCCAGAGCTCCTCACCTATGGGGATGGTGCGGCCCTGGACCTTGTCGGCCCAGCCTGCACAGTAGCGCAGTGTTTTTATGCAGCCTCCTAAATCCATCAGATATGCATTAGAAAATAATTTCCCGGCATTCATGGACTCCATCGTCTGAAAAACAGATTAATTTCAAAGTTTAAAACTCCATGAAATTTTTAGATTAAAACTATACATAGCCACAATTTTGAATAATTAAGTGCTACAGAAATTTGTACATGGAAGAAATCTGCTCTTGTTTAATTGCCTTTTTTTGAAAAAGAGAGACTCTAAAACAGTTAAAATAACTCACAATCAAAAGGGGGTAGGAGATTCCAGTTGCTAAACCTGACGGGCCTTCCTTTCTTTCTTTCTTCTCTTTTTTGGTACAAATTTTCAGTACATAATATTTCCATTCGTTTCATGGTGTTGGTGCGTGTACATAATTCACTTTTTTCATGCCCATGCTACCTCGTGAGCCCCATCTCATCTGAGAAAGGTCTGCCTCCCTGCTTCTTATGATCTAGTTTTTCTTTTGCTCTTTACTTATTATTTGGGATTTTCACATAGGAGAACCCACATGATACTTAAATTGTGTGTTTGATTTAAAATTACGGTCTCAAGGTGCAACACAGTGTTCTGCAAATAACTCAGGGTTATCGTATGGTAGAGCAGTACTCTGTTTCATGTAAATATATTTTCTTTACTCTTCAAGGTTTAGCTTCTCTCATTCCTGGCGCCCCCTAGCTAGCCAGTGTTTGAGGAGGTGGTCACAATTTTATCAGCTTGCAGGTTAGAACAGTATGTAGTCCCCTTGATAAGAAGAGAAATGCAACAAGATTTCACTTGTAATCCAACCACAGTGAGAGTTTAACATCAGTGCCTATTACTCATATTTCTCAGTTTTTATTTTGGGGATTCCATCTGGATCCAACATGCATTCACACAAGCATAACATCAGGATCATTTCTTCATGAATTGTCCTTAGCAGAATTTTCAGTGAAGAAACTCCTTTGGATATTCTTATGATAACTGTCATTTGAATGATCATAATATAAAATTCAACATTTTCTGGCATAATTGCCATAGCACATCTCTCTTCTGTTCCTTCTTGGCTTAAAATGAAATTCAAAAAATTGGGGAAGAGGTGTCTAAAATTCAACTCAGTAGGCATATATAGGTGATACATTGCTAAATCTGTTCTATTCATATTATAATGTTCATCCTTGCAAAATTTAAGCAAACTTGACTTTTTTAATTCCTGCTGTATTTCCTATAAGATCTTATGCTGGTAAAGGCAGTCAACACTCAACAATCTACAAATTAAATGTCAGAGCCCAGTTTTAGCAAAATCTGTTTTCTCCCTAAGAACATTTAATTCAATACAGTTCTATCACATAGAATTTATGGTTCTATATTTTGAATTATGCTGTACCTTCAAACAATAAGTGGTCCTTTGATTAGTTAGAGTCACCAATGTTTATTTGTTGGTAAAGTGAGGTCTTTGTTATGTCACTGTGAGATTCTAAAGATAATACAAGTTTATTCTGAAATCTATCAATTTATGTTAAGTTGTCTTTAATATCTTGCCTGAGAAAACAAAGAAATGCATTTCTCCACCCATGTTATGTGCTGAATTACCTAACTGCTAAGATCATTTTTATAAAGCATGAATAAAAAAATAACCTTTACCAGTTGTAGAGGGTTACACATGTAATCCAAGCATTTAGAAGTTTGAGGCAAGGCAGTGAGTTTGAGATCAGTTTCAGTTACTTTAAGGTATGTGTGGTCTGTGTAGTGAGACCCTGCCTCAAGAAAACAAAACCAAAACCCCACCAACAAAAACCCCATTATTTATTTGCATATCAAGAATTGAATTTTCTTTCTTCCTTCCTTTCTTTTTGTCTTTTTCACTTGTTAAAAAGAAAAACTACATCATTTAATTGTGAATAGACACATTAAATATTTTGGTGAGCTGAACTAAGGAGAAATAAGATTTATTATAAAAATTATACTGGACACTGTCAACCAGTTAAATAGGATTTTCTAGTAAGATTTCAGGGCCAACTAATTTTGAGAAACCAACTACAGTATTCTAGAAGAGTCACACTGCACATAACCTTGTTAAAGACTTATTACAGTTCTAGAGTAAAGGAAAGATATGTCTTTGGCTTAGGCCATGGCTTATCCTGTAGAACCAGTTATGAGAGCAGAAGTTAACATAGTCCAGAAGTAAAAACGGATAATTAGTGGAAAATAACCTCGAGGGTTGGTGATCCAACAGGATAAAGGAAATTAAGCCTTATCCTTTTTTTTTTTTTTTCTTTTGAAATAGAGTGCACATAGCGCTAAAAGCAATCATGTTGTCAATTCAAACAGAAAATGCTTTGTGAGCTCCCCCTTGCATCCAGCGTGGTCATACTCACTGCCAGCAGCAGACGATCCCTTTCAATTAAGTCAGCCAGCTTGTATAGGAGGTGGCCCCTCTCCGAAGCATCCATAGTGCGCCATGGAGAGCCAATCTGAAAGGCTTGTCTTGCGGCCTGCACTGCTTTGTCAACATCTGCCTGTAAGTCAAAGAGAATTCAGTTCAGTGCGCTCAACATACTGCAAATCCAATGGCAATAACCCTCGGAAACAGCTGTAGCTACTTGTGAACAGTTGCAGCGTCTCCATGACCTCCAAGCCTATCACATTGTATACATCCAGCTATGGTAGCTGCACTGACCCCTGCTGAGCCATCCTTAGCACAATGAGCCCCTCACTCCTGACACCTGCTTGATTTCCTAGAATGTGTTATCTTTTGAGTGTTTATTGCATTTGAGTAATGTTCTAATAACTTTACATACATTAATTACCTCTTTTGATTCTCAATTATCTCATAGGACCAATATATTCTATACTTCATAGATGAAGAAAAAAAGAAGAGGAGAGAAAGATTTGCTCAAGATCAAGAATTACATGTGGCTGACCTGAGTTTCAATGGGGTCCATCTGACATGGGTCCCTTGCTATTTACAACAATTTCTACTCCTTTGGTGACTGAGCTACAGAAGTACCAAGCAAACTCAAGAACTCAAAAAGTGAACACTTTTCTGGTCTCTGGGTACTCGGTCTGTGCATACTCATGCATATTCTACTGAAAACCAAATAAGCACTTTTAAAACTTAGCTATTAAGAGTGAACAATATAAACACACATCCATGCTTTCTACACACATGGCAAAAGGCAGAGAGGAAGTGGAACAGTTCTTAGAAGCCTCCGCATGAGTTATGCCCTCTTTGCCTGGCAGTGTACAAAGAGATCTTTTTCAATTCCTAAGTAAAGGAATCAGCTGCTCTTTATTGTTAATGCTCCATTTACACTGATTCCCACAATAATGTAATCACTAAGCACTGCAAACCAGTACTACTAAGAAAGAAAGAAATTAGGCGATGAATTAAAAAGACCTGCACTGATTCAAACAGAAGCCAAATAATAGAATAAATCCACACCAACAAAGTCCTTTATGTAGTCTCCTTGTCTTCACTTAGGCTGCCTTCTGTGATACTCTTTTCTTCTGTCTTGTGTTTTCTAAACCAGGACTACTTGTCTGGTTGTGTGCTCATCCACCCTAGGTACTCTCTTCCCCTATGGCTCCTTATGCAGACAGCCACTCATCTACTGCAAAATATACCTGCCATTGGTATCACCATTGTTGTATTTCTAATTCATGTGGTTGTTTTCCCCGCCAAAATCCATTGCGAATACCTAAAATTCCACTACCCTTGCCCCACTTTTGCTACATAGCACTGACCCCTGTTTGGGACTTCAGAAATCTTGATATTACAGGCCAGAAGATTGTGACTTTTTGCAGAAGATGTAACTCTCTTTGAGAATTAGAGTGGGGAGGAAAAAAATCAACTATTTTTTAAAAAATTTTCTCAAATAGTAAATTCCATTTAACGATGATATCTCCCTCTTGGAAAGCCACGGACCTCCTCCTTAGACTGTATTCAATTAAGTCACAAACCTACACGTTTCAGAATCATTAAAGTGGATGTAAATTTAAAATATTTTTTAAGTAGAAATGTTCTTTAATTTGTGATAAGATCTTCATAAACCATAGTCAGAAATACTATAAGTTGAAACTGCGTTTAACACACCTGACCTACAGCCTAGCTTGATTTAAATATGCCCAGAGTGTCTAGAGTCTGTTTAGCCTGACAAAGTGGTGAATATCTCATTCAGTGTATTAAATGCAGTACACTGCAGTGGCTTGTGTAGCTGACTGGGAATTGTGGTTTTCCGTTGTTGCTTAGCATTGAAAGAGAAATTCAGACCACCTATTGCTAACCTGGTGGATAAAAAACAAATTTAAACTTTAAAATATGTTTTTCTTTTTTTTTTGTCTTTTTCGTTTTTGTTTTTATCAGTACCAGGGATCAAACTCATGACTGCCTGCTTGCAAGGTAGGCGCTTATGCCGCTGAGCTAAATCCCCAACTCCTAAAATATGATTTTTATTAAATGTGTATTGCTTTGCATTTTAATAAAGTAAGAATTTGAAGTTGAACATCATTGCAAGTTATGGATCATCTGTATTAATCATCAAACTAAGATGATCTGAAGCAAGAGAGATTTCTTAAAAGTATAATCTGGTCTGAGTTAGTGATATAATGCATATTGACTACAAGCAAAGACTTTTCAGTGCAATACATGACCCTGAGGTGTCTTACCATCAAAGCTGGAAGACTGATATATATGTACAAACAAAACGTATGGGCACACAATTGCTCTCCCAAGAAATGAATACATAGTGCGTATCTTGAGCACTATGCATGCTAATGATATTGACTGCATGTTTGGACTTTGTTTTATGCTATGAATTCTAGCCCTCCTCATCTTAAATTCAGAGAGTACTCAGGAGTAAAAGAGAGAGAAGCAAACTACAAGAACCTGAGGTTGTCAGTAAGTATGGCCTGTGGATACTATGGCTTATAAAATATTTGCATCTCTGTGTTTAAACTGATGGATGTGACACAGCTTTTGTTTCAATCCTGCTGAGCATTCTGCCATTGCCTCAGCCAAGTATGGGCTATCAGAGATGTCCTAGCCTCCAAGGGGGTAAGGGAGAACTTGCTTCAAGACAACTACTCTGCCATATAAAAAACACACACTTAGAAAATGCTTATTATCAATAAAGATGTTCTTGTGATTGTGTGTTTTGGACCATATCTCTCCTTTTGTCATACCTAATATTTAATTTTTCAGGAGCTAAAAAAGAGTAATGGCAGTTAATTTATAAATTTAAATTTTATAAAAAAATGTAGAATTTTAAAAAAAATGTAGATTTAAATTCTAATTCTTTCTTATTACCACTTTGTAATATCCGGTCACCTGTAGCAATCTATACATCCACCTGAAGATTTCATACCCAATCCACCATTTAGCATTTTTCTTAGCAGTAGGATAACACTGGGATGGTGAACTGACCAAACTGTCCTTTTGAAATATGCAATCAAATAGGACGTACATACAACCAAACCATCACTCCACTGCCCTGTACGTCATAAATGACAGTTACCAGTCAGTTTTCCCAGGTAACTGTCACTTGTTTCCAGGACCATGTTAACAGATTACCTAAATATGCAGATACTAAAGACTTAAATAAATTGATATAGTATTTTCATATAAACTACACACAATTTCATATGTAATTTAAATCACCTCTGGATTACTTTTAATACCCACTATAATGTAAATGCTATGCAATTAGCTGTTTTCTGGTCTTTAAATTCACAGGATTGTGGTGAAGATTAAATAAAGTAACCCTTGGTACACATTTTCATGTGACAGACATTGTGCTATTCATCATATAGGTATGTTGTTGTTATAGTTTTAGAAGTCCAACTAGTGTTAAAATAATGTTCAGCAATTCTGGTGTATTTTAACACTTCCTTTCAGTTTTCAATGCCTGATACAGTTACAGGTTTTTATTATTTTATAATGTTGACAGCCTACCCATGTTCATTCTCTTCCTTCCCCAGCTCTGCTGCCTGTAGCTACCAGGCTAGAGTCATCTGGTTTTATCTTATCATCCTCCCTTTCAATGTTTGCAACTGTTCCTTTCACCTACAGTCCAAGGCTGGACTCCTCTGCTTGGTTTTCAAAGTCCAATACTCTTTGCCTCCCTCCCCAACCAGCTCATAAGTTGTGCTCACGTTTTTTTTTTTTTTTTGCCCTGACTCAGCTTTTCATTGATCTATGATTCCCCTTGCCAAGAGTGTCCTAGTAAAGCACTCTGTGCTTTCAAAATCCTCCGTATTTTTAAAGACTCAACTACTATAATTTAACTCAATCTCCACTGGAGAAATCAACTTGATGATGGCTATCAGCTAAGAGACCACTGGTCTACTAAACCTTAATGCTCTAAGATACGTTCTGTTCTTTACAATTTCATGCCTCTACTAGAGTTTTTATGAACCTTGTTTTACGCATGCCTAAGTCTCATGAACATGAAATCCAGCAGAGCAGAACCAAAATTTGATCCTATGTCTGACTCAATTTTAGGTTCCATAGCTTTGCAGCCTTGTTCTTATATCTGCTCTGTAGTTAATAATTACTACTGTCTTTATTATAAATTGTGGTATTTATATTTTTCTGGGCCTACAATAGGAAATTAATAAATATTTCATAATATTGTTAAATATTTTCCAAGCCTATCAAGTTATCCTGATGTTTCATAAAGATATATCTTACATAACTTATATTGACATTTATATGATGTCATTTTAATTGATTCCATCATATAAAAAAGCTTTTACAACATGGATAACTGGTAGGCATATTATTGCTTATTTTTTCTTCTTCCCTTTTAAGTTTCAAGACTAAAATTTTTATTCTAGAACAAGCATGTCCAGGGATATAATCTTTTAATTAACCAGAAAATAACTTGGTACATTAACTAAGATTTTCTAAAACCAGTAACACTGGTTTTAAACTAGTAAAAAGAGTAACACTGTGACATTTAAGCTGATTTTTTAAAAATGTGTTTCTTTGTTTTGTTTTTCATACAGCATCTCACTATGTCATTCAGGCTGACCTTGAACTTACTATGTACATAAGGCTGACCTCAAAATCATGGTGATTCTCCTGCCTCAGCCTTCCAAATGCTGGTATTACAGGCCTGTGCCACCACGCCCAGGACAAAGTTCTTTTTTTTAAAGAAAAAGTAACGATCCACACAAGCTGTGTACATGATGGTAATTCAAATGACGTGCTGAGTTCTGTTAAGGAAGACTGAAGCCTTCATCACCACTAGATCATTCATTTCCATATTAAATTTATTCAGAAGTGAAGAAAATAATCATCAGATCAGTTTTACTTTTGCACCTCTCACAAATTCTTTCTTTAATGAACATTTATTTTTACTCCCACCAGTTATTAGTTAGTTTGTGCTTTAGTGTTGGAAGCAGTGAAAGCACATCTGCGCTTTGCTCTGTAAACTCCAAGTGTGCTCTCCCCTCTTTTCTCCTTGATACTCCTTAAGGTTCATTGTTAGTTCCACTCTTCTCATAAAACTTTTGGCTCATTATGGAAAGAGTCATTTCCAGAATATTAGGTTTACTGTGACTATATAATTTATTAGATTTGTGCCTTTTACTAAACATTATTAGTTTACATTCATTGGCCATGTTGTTCGAACAGTGATTATTGTTTCAAGATCAAAGTACTTTTACAAATAATTCTAAAAGGAATTCCATGATAGGAATGTTGGATGATAAAATTATTTTCCTTGCATTGTTTATATCATTGACAATTTACTTTGGGTGGTCAAATGTCCAGCCAATTCCATGACAACTGTGACCCGACTTGAAGCTTTGCTGGGTGTCACTAAGTGTCCTGCTGTTCTCGGGGTAGGAGCATGGTCATAAGCACAGAGCAACTCAGTGACACACTGTTCAAAGGCTTATGGTGTAATCATCAATTTTATCTTACTACTCCTTACAAAGATGGTAAATTCCATAAATTGTGCCAAGAAAAGGCCTCGGACTCCCTCAGGTTTCAACTGTCACCCAAGCAGAGAGATTTGTTTTCCTCAAGGAAATAATCCTGGTGGCCCAGCAAGATGCTATCTTGGAAGCCAATGGCAAAGTTAAGTGTTCCGGAGCTAAAACATAATCCATCGATTTTTTCTTTTATTAGTTACAAACTCCAAACAGATTGGCAGCCTTTCTGTGAGTGACACTCAACTCATAACCACAGAGAGAAAGACTCTGAGCCCTCGCAGCCTTGCTCTGGCACACTCAGATATTCATTGCTTTTTTACTTAGGCTTGCCGGAGCCACTGAACCGACTAGATAAGCATTTGAGGTAAGGCTATGGTGGATCTCGAGAAATCTCTGGCACCAGTTATTCATTGTTTTTTTAAATATGAAAAATGTATTCTCTTAGTTCTCCGAATAGCTCATGGGAGTCAGGCATTTGAAACCCCTGTAACTCATGGCCAGGGATGGCCAAGTTTGATCTTGTGAAAATTCACAGAGATGCAAAGTGGATGTCACAGCATGATTACCAAAGACCACTTTACTTCTCCAAGACTGTGTCCTGCTCCATCTGTCCCATGATTCTCAACAAAGACACCAAAACACACATTAGATAAGAGGCAGGTTCTTCAGTGGACCACGCTGGGAAAACTGTTCACACACAAAACAATGAAATTAAACCATTACCTCTTATAATGTGCATAATACAGTATAAACTTTGTCCAGCGAAAGATCTGAAACTGCCAAAGTACACTGGCAAACATATTGGGCTAGGCAATGATTTTGTGGATAAAATCCCCAAAGCACAAGCACTACTAACAAAGATAAACAAATTTATATCAAACTAAAACTAATATGAACAGAAAACAGGTGAAAAGCCTATCTATCAAGTGGAGAAATAGGTAATCTGTACCTCTGCCAAGAAAGTAATGTCTATATTATCAAAAGATCTGAAACAATAGCAAAAAATTAAATAATCTGATTTTAAAATGGGCAAATAATCCAAAAAATGTCAAAACTTTATTTTGATTAATATTTTCCTACATCGCACAGAATAGATATTACCAAAGAAGCCAAACATAATAAATGTTTATGAGGATGTGGAGACAAATAAATCCTTACATATTTTTGATGAGACTAAAAAATTAGTACAGTCATTATGGAGAAGAGCATGAAAATTTCAAAAAGAAATTAAAATTAAATCCCTATGTAATCTATTGCCCCACATCTGAATGTATCTCCAAACAAGACAAAATCATTTAAAATTATACTTGTGCTCTCATGGATAGCTCAGTTAATTACCGAACTATTTATATGAGCAAACGTACTGAATCAACTAAGATGCCTGTGAGGAGATCAGTGGATACAGAAAAGGTGACATATGTACAATGAAATGTGATTCAGCTATAAAAAAAGAACGATTCTTGTCAGTTGTGGTAGAATGGCTGAGACCAGAGGACATTATGTTAAGTGAAATAATTCAGTCACAGAAAGACAAAGTTGCTATGCTGCCACTCATGGATGGAAGACAAAAAGGTTATTTAAAACAGAAAGTACCACAGTGATTAGCAGAAGCTGGGAAGGAAAGGTGAGAGGGGTGATAGACGTAGGTCCAATAATGGCTTCACTACAGTTAGAAAACTGATGGTCTACAGACACTAGGATGACACTGTTTGTAGTTTTAATTTTCTGTATGTTTTATAAGAACTAGAAGAGGTTCTGATCCCAAAGAAACCATGTGTGGGTAGATGGAAATTATATTTTTGCATGCTGTAATTGCTACACATTTTATACATACATTTAATTTCATAGGAATTATATAAAATATGTTATCCGTGTATTACAGCTTACTTCACTGACAATTATGAAAAGAATTTTGTCTCCTGTTAAATGCTAAGCTGTGAGAGAAGATACAGCTTATGGTCTAATAGTTTCATTCAGTATTCTCAAAATATATTGCCCCACTTTCCCTTTCCCCTCACCTGCATTAGCTGAGAATTTGTCAGAGATGTGAATTCCCAGGTTCACTCTAGTGCCATAAAAACAAACTCTAGGGAAGGGTGGGAATTTGTATCTTAACCAGGTTTCTAGGAAGTTCTGATGAGTGGCACATTTTCTGGATCACTACCTCTGCCAGCAACCAGCTGAGTACTAGACGCTTAGGATGTGGGTGGGGTATGTGAAAATTCAAAGCCTGGTTAAGGAGAAGAATGTTTCACTACCACCAGAATCCAAGCTGTGAAAATGTGAGATGCAGTACTGATCACTGCAAAAGCGTGCTCTAGACTAATCCATCAGTACCCACATATGTCTAACGCAAGAGTCATAGGCAAATGCAGTATTCTATAATCACACAAAAGAGAGCACGTCTATCTGGGAGGATCTGAGAAGGCTTTGAAACAAGGATAAAACCACATAATGACTGAGGATTTATGAGCCTGGTGCTTTTGAAGATCTTTGGCTATGTTAATTAACCTTGCAAGTGTTTCTGACTTCCTCATTTTACACAAAAAAGAACAGGAGCTCCACAGGATGAGTGCAAAAGTGGAACCACTGACTGGTACTGTACACGTGACTTGGACAGGTTCCCGGGGAGTGCAGTGCAGAAGTGCACAGAGGCAGGGACCAGCAGTGTGAGCAAGGGGCACTGGGCGTGGTGAATCTGGAGGTCTAAGGTCAGTTAAGTACCGTGGGACACAGTCATAAAAAAAAGATTGAGGAGTATTACAGCTGACCTCTGTGTGTGGACTTCTTCCTTAGGATGAGTGAAGAATCCATGCATGGGTGAGCTCTTCAGTGTATACAGAAAGTGAAGTCTGATGTCAAGTGCTACGTGTTCATCTCATTCTGTGCCTGCTTCTCAAATTGTTGGCCTCTGTGTCCAAACTCTGCTCTCTCCTGCAGGCCTGGGCCTCACTTTATTCTGAAAATTCTGCAGAGTATCTAGGGTCTTTAGAAAACCCAAAGTTGCACTGCTTTTAAAGCAAAGGCAAATCGGCAACTGTACAGGAGCATGAAATTGATCCAACTGAAACCTAGGGTCATGAATGGTATCACCCTTCGGTTCCGATGCGTTAATCTTCCAGTAGGATTTTCGTGAAGCAAGACTTTTTATTGCTTTACAACTAATCTCAGAAACAGAGATTTAAAGCTTGGTAACACGGAACAGACAAATTACTTCAAATTGGGAACACTTTTTATGTCTGTATTTGGGTAAAAATTCTGAAAGCGTTTATTTTCTCATCACTAAAGGCTTTTTAAATTCATCTTATCTTGCTTTCATAAAAATCACAAAATAAAGCAGTAACCTTTCTAGGCACAGACTCTGAAGTGCTATAAATGCTTATTTATTATTTATTAGCAAGGTTGTCCTGAGTAAAGTACCCAATCTTTTTATGTGGTCATTTTATCACCATTTGTAAATGTATATAAAAATACTATCTTTTTAATAAAGTTGTGTTAAATGTTAAATTAACAGAACATTTAGAATTAAAAAAATTGTTACTAAAAATTTGGTCTTTTTTGTTAATATATTAGCTAGAGTATAACTATACTTTTACTTAATTATTCTACTTAAGATATTTTGCAGTTCACTTAAGAGGTACAGATTCACATTAATTCAATGATTTTAATGAAATAATTTAGAAATTTAGTATCCAAAATAGATTGTCTAAAAATAATATATTAAATTTTCAAATTTCACCTACCAAGTAAAAAAGAATGATTTCATATCAATAAAGTATTTCTCTCCTCTTTCAAAGCTGTAATTAATCCTGTCTTATAGACCGTAGAATAAATGTCAACATTATTTCAATTGGAAATCACAGAAAGCTATACAAAGAGAAATCACTACAGCATCTCAGGCATAAGGTCATTTATTGGCTTTACAATGGGTTTGGGAGCTCAGCATGGTGAGAAGCAGAGGAGCCTGGTATGAACCAGAGCTGGATTGAGAAACTCACCTTATCCCCTTCCTCCACCTCACAGATTTTCTCCTCAGTTGCAGGATTAATGACCGGAAATTTCTTGCCACTCGCGGAATCATGCCATTCGTTGTTGATGAAGATCTGGGGGATGTGGAGAAAGTGTATAAGAAAGCATTTAAATAGGCAGCACCTTTGCAAATGTTTATGACTTTAGAGCATCATACAACATCTAAACCATGTCCCACGTCAAAATATTAGATTTTTATCTTACATTTTATATACAGGAATAGATACAAATGTGTACACACTAAATTAAAATCAGATTTTTTAAAGGTTTATTAAGATGTGGAGTCATTTCAAAGCTAGAAAACACAGCTGGGAGAAAACAACTTGGAAATTGGTGTTTTTAACTGATGTTGTCACTCAGGTGGGACCAGAGCAGCTCAGCGGCTTAAGCTTCATAAACCACTGCTCCTAGTTTCAACTTCAAGCCCCAAACATGCTTCCTTGGGCTGCTGTGAGTGGGTGTGATGACTGATCAGTTTCAGTACTTTATTTTGCTGTCACCAAGCTAGATAAATGGTGGAATTTCACAAGAAGTTTGTTTAGAAAAACTTAGCTATTGGCTTATTTTTCATTGGCTTTTAAAGGCATAACAATTTCATCCATCTTTTCACCAAAGCATCTCCCAGTTTATTTGTCTTCAGATGAGATCAGATACTAGATTTCTTAGTAATACCGCTGATAAAGAGATGTGACTGCAACATGCACCCAAAAAGCCTGGAATTTTATTCGGTGTCCACTTTAATGAAACAAGCAAAAGATTTTTTAAAAGAATATTTCATGTAAAATATCTGAGTTTCAACTTTTGCAGCTCTGAGTTTGCATTTCATTGGTAAATCAACTTTGATATTCATTTAACTTTTATAGGAGCACAACAAGCCAATTAAAGAATATCCCTTGTGATGAAAAAGGTTATATTCTGTTTCTGACAAATATGAGTGTTTTTTCACTTTTTACTTTTTTATTTATTCTTTTTCTTATTTTTGATATTAGAAAACAATCATAAGTAACAATTATGTATTGCAACTTTTTGTTAGGTATATGAAAAGATAAACTAGTTTGAATCTCAGGTAACTGAAAAATATAACTCTAAAAGAAGTTTGTCTTACATACAGGGTTTGAAACATATATATTAATTCAGATACCCATCCTCATTTCATATTCAGAGATAGGAATTCATTTTTGTCTTGAATACATCAGTACACCACTTTTCAAAGTTCAAATCAATAGCTATGCTAACAAAGCAACATAATTGGTAAAAATTTCTCAGTGACATTAAGATTATAATGTGTGATTTGCTGCAAAATGAGATGGAGGAAAACTTCCTTATTTTCCTGTTCACACCAATAAAATTTTCCATACAACAAAACAACATTGTCTTATGTCTGTTGAAGATTTCGAAAAAAATTGTAGTGCTAGGCTGGACTTGCTTGGAAAGGGATCCACACATGAATAAATGAAGGAAGATGGAACCAAGCCATTCAGAGGAAGAGACTGTATGAGAAAGGACAGGAACATAAAGGTCTGAGAAAGAGTACCAAGCAAACCCTTGATTCTCTGACACAGTAACTGAATACAAACGAAGAGCATATGAATCATGTTATCCCTCAAGAAGAATAAAAGTTGGCCTCTTAGTTCAAGATGAAGAAAGGTAAATTTAAAATCATGAGTTACCCTGTGCATCTATGGGGTGAAACAATACATAAGTTATTGGAAACGCTTTGCAGAATCTTATAATTACTCTTAAGAAATATTTTCTTATGCATCCCTAACCCTTACCACTTACTATTTTTCTTCTCAAGGGTTGAGCTGAAATCACTTCTGTAATGTGCTCTCCACTCAGCTCACTGTTACCGTTACATTTTGGCTGCTCTTGCTTCAAACTGAAGCTCTAAAAGCTTCTAATCAAGACCTCCTCTCTCTCTCTCTCTCTGTCTCTCACTCTTACTCTCTCTCTCTCTTTCTTCCCCCCACATACTTTCTTTTCCATTAATAACACACATATTCTGTGGTCATTTTTTAATGTCTATTTGTTCATTATTATTATTATTTTTTTTTTTTTTTTGTCTTTTTGAGACAGGGTCTCATTGTGCAGTTGAAGCTGGTCTTGAACTCACTCTGTAGCCCAGGCTGGTCTGGAAATCACAATCCTCCTCCTTCCTCAGCCTCTTGAGTGCTGGGATTACAGACGTGTGCCACCACACCCAGCTTCATAACTACCTTTTAAACCACTCCATGCCCCATATCTGCTTAAATAAAATTCGATCTTCACCCCTTTCCTAGAATCTCCCTCACCTAGCCAGTTGACTCTGGTCTACTTGCCTCTTAGAAAACTTCAGGGATTCTCCTCCTCAGACTGCTTGTGTGACACTTGAGGGGGTTTATGATTTGGGCCAATATCTGCTTCCAAACTCTGGTCCTGCTCTTCCCCAAAGTTCCCTTTTGTTTCTATTCTGCTTTGTGGAAACACTTCTGCGCGCCTTTCTTTGCTCCACACCTTTATTTGTAAGGTTCCTCAGGTGGGAGTTTTGCCACATTCTTCTCCCTGAAACTCTGGCTTAATGCATCATCTCTTTATGAAGGCTTCACTGGTCTCTCTAGTCATATTTACCTTCCTTTTCCAAAATAATGTGCTGCTATTCTATTATTAAATTTCTTATTCAATTCTGCTTTTTGGTAAAGTTAAATACTCATGTATCAGCCCATGAAATTCCAAAAGAAAAAACAAAAACATAAAATAAAATAAAGACCTAAAGATATTGTGGTGCCTGTCCTCAATTTTTAAATCAGCTGTTCAAAGCTTGAATCAGATTCACCTATTTGTTAATCCTGCCCTCAAGAATGTATTATCTTTTCAGATTTTACCCTCCAAACTAAGAGAACATGTGAATCTTACCTGAGAAATATATTCACAATTCTACCCTTTTATAGTATAATTTCATTAAACAAAATTCGAAGAAGAAGAAAAAAACAGACTAGATTCTTTTACGTGATTTATGGTGAGGCTTTCTAGCTCCTGCCTGAGTCCTTTTATTCTTAGGTCTGTGACTTTATTTTTTTACTTCAAATTCTCAGTAATGTGCTCTTAATACATTATAGTTGTATGCCCTTAACCTAACCTTTTTTTGGTGAAAGAATCTACACTATGTAGATACCATTTTGTTTTACTATCAAAATCCTGTATCTAAACTACATAAACTGCTTTCTTCAGATTAAAATCAGTTAACGTTTGGTAAATCATCATTAACCTGCAGTAAAAATACAAGTTTATCCAGCGATCTTAGGGGCAACTGAAGAAATCAGCTACACATAATCCTAAACTATTGGCCACAGCTCTGCATTACTCAGTTTTAACCTTTAACACTAGGGAACATTGTGAAGCCAAGTGTTGTTTGAACTTGTGCTTATATTTACATAATCCTGAATGGTCATCTTCTGTTTTAATAAGAAAAGTTTTTTTATCAAATAATGAGCAGATTTACTTGAGAGGTACTCTGGAACATGAAGGGGGAGAATGTGAAATGAGTTAGTCCCAGCTCTGCCTCAAGGCGTGCAGCATCCAAGAGGGGTGTGTATTTATGCTGAGTAAGGGTAAAGCTTGTAGAATTCAAACATCAAGCAGTGCATGGTACAGTGAACTCATGGAAGAGAGGGGAGGTGAGCTCAAGGAAATGTATTCTTGAAGTATGGGTGGCCTGTGATTAGTGGTAAGAAGAAAAACAACGAGCAAAGAGAACAAACAGTCTTGTGATTTTTGCAACATAGAAAAGGGACTGCCCCAAACAGAGTTCCTGTTGAATCAAGGCATAGCTAAGGCTCGAGCATGAAAATGAAGTTGGTTTGTGATGGACCTCAATTTCCCAAGTAGGAAGTGTGGGCTACATTCTCAATAAAATCGATTATATAGAAAAACACTACTTTTAAGATATCCAATTTTTTTTTGAAACAGCGATCAGAACTTAAAAGATTAGCTCAGAGACTGATATACCAAGAATGAGATCAAATACTTTAGAGCATAGGCAGCAGTTAGTTTCGAGTTATGCATTAGGGACCTCGTCCCCCAGAGAGACCTACAGGTATGAGACAGAACTCAGTACAGGTGATAAGATTACTGAGATAGCTGTAAGGGTGGGGTATCCCGACATCCTTTTCACTCTCTGAGCTGTTCAGAGTTTATTAGGAGGAACTCTCCTCGTTATCATTTGTTATGATTTTAATTTTCTTAGCTTTATGTTTGGCAATTGCCATATACCTACCTGTGTAATCAAGTGCATTTGAATAATGACCCTCCTGTAATTATAATCACTGGTTAAATGGTGAAGTCTAAACTAATGAGTGTTTATAATAGCATTTGTGAAATCCATTTTAGACATGTTGAAATGATCTATCTATGGTGATAACCCAATTTCTTATTTCCTATTTTGCCTTCAGCAACTTTAAGGAAAAAGGGAGAATTCTATAAAGGTGAAATATTTGGGATGCCACTTGGCCATTATATTAACTGTATTCTCATTATAATTGTAGATTTAGGATACTTTTCAGTAACCTATATGTACAGTAGATATCAACTTTAAGTACATGTACTGATCAGAAATTATAGATGTCTACGCACCTGGGATTCAGATGTTTTTTTTCACCTCAGGAAGGCAGTCAATGGGAATGTTGAGGCAATCTGGAGACTGATTTCCTTAGGTATGTCAGAGTTAAAGAGATGCATAATATTATCTTTAATAAATGAGCAAATGCTCTCTGAATGTAGCTTATTTTCCATGCCATGGTTTGGGTAGGGTTTGCCTTTCCAGAGTAATATTATGTCTTAATATATTTAGCACAGAGTCAGTTATAATTTAAAAAGTAGTCTCAAAATATTTCTAGTTTAAATAAAGATTATTTTACAAATGGCAAAATAAAGACCTATTGATCTCATGTACTGACATGAGATTTTGTGGGCTGTTGCTTAGAAAGACCTTCTATTCCTCTACTATGGTCCCCTAAATTCACATTATATTTTTAGTTCAGCCAATGGGCAAGCAGATCTATGGTCTTAGAAGTGAAGACAATACTTTCTCAGTGGCAGA